TACATTTAGAACTTAAAGGGAATTTATTCTACGTGTACTGCCCATGGTTAATTGACATTTGTTGTTATTTTTACTCAAACGTATTCATCTTTATTTTAAACTGGAAACTGATATACAATTTAGCAGATTGATTCTGATTCAGTACTTTATAGTAAGTACTCATTTCAATACATACAAATACATTTATTTAATACTCGTTACATAGAAAAAGGTAGAAATAAAAACATTTGACTTTTGCTTAATGTAATATTATAACTTTTACACTTACAGTAAAAAGTCGTTGAGCAAACTATCACAGTCTAATAGAGCTAGCTGCCCACAGTGTTGAGTTAAAAATATAGATAAATAAATAGAGATATTGTCAGGTATCAATATAGATATCAATATTGATACCTGACAATATCTCTATTTATTTATCAAAATAATAAAAGGTATCTACTTCACCAACAATCCAATTAATTAAAAATATAGGTTAGAGAAGGATTAAAATGAAGGAAAATTATCCGAGTAATGTACTTGAGTTAAACTATCTTTAAATTAAACGAGAGTATAAAAACCACCAAATAAAACTCGCCAACACGTACGAAAATGGTTATAAATATCCAAAATAAAACTGACAGTTCATGCGACCTTTGAAAAGAAATTTTCTGACCTATGATTAGTGGTTTTATTATATTGATAAATATAATTTTATTATAATTGTAAATGTGAAGTTATCTTTTTAATTCTTTTCCTATGTAAATATGGGCGTTTGAGACATTTTGTGTCAAACTCGGGAGTAATTTTAATGGGTGCACACATAAATATAAACATATATAAAAGCATATTCTATTTCATGGTATCCGTTATGTTATATATAAAAGCTCTTTGCAAGGCATTAAATATTTAAATAAAACAAAAAACGCAAGGATTAAAAAATAATTTGATTATTCATGTTCGATCCCCAAAATTCACTCCAACTTTTATAATTTGTTTGCCATTTTTGAATTTATTCTCCTGCTGTGCAATATATTGCATCTTCATTGGTCTGCCAATGGCCTTCCCCAAATCGACAGCCATACCCGACACATCCAATTTACACCAGGAATATGAGTATAGTCCAGCTGTGAATGTCGGCATTTGAAAGGATGCGCGCTGGTAAGGGCGCGTTCAGACAATTGCAGGGTTTGCGATATCCTAAACAACTTGCGGCATTGAATTCTCTATCCAACAGTAGCACATTTACCTAGTGAGCAGAAAATAAATCACAACTTGTGTTTTAAGAAGAAATTTTGACTTTTGCGAGTATTTACCAGGATTCCAAGACACAGTTTTTATTTTTTTAAAATTTTTTTTGCGTTCGAAGACATTACAAAGAATAATAATCAAGTAATCTCAACTCGACTATGAATTGGACATTTTCTACTAACTCACAAACATCTTGTAACAAAAGAACCTTTGAAACATGTAGGACACCTATCACCCTGATTCATTTAGCTGATACAATGCCTTGACTTAAATACCTTAAGAACTAAATATGAATTATCTAATATCATACAGGAATTACTTAATGAAATATGCAAAACCTATAAAGTACTTAACTTCTTATCTGAAAAAGGAATAGGTAAAAAAATATAATGTGTCTATTTCTCCTTAAAGTTTAAAATTATAAATAATATTATATATATATATATATATATATATATATATATATATATATATATATATATATATATATAATATATCTCTCACATCTGACACAACTGATAACTGGAAGTAGACGTACTGTTGACAAATTGACCAATATTATCATTTTGTAATATTTGTATTTGTATCTTTTTCCTTGTTAATATCATTCTGTATTAGTTGAGTACTTCAAATATTATCTGCACTAATTAAGTGGTCAGTCATGAACTCGTTATTCGATCCTAATAAATTAACCAATTATAATAAATAGTAACAACATAACCTCGAAATGTTTGAGATAAGACATTTGAAAACCAAGTAGCTACATGAGACCTGTTAGCGGATGTCATAGGACATCATAATATTTTAGCACAAAAGAGTAATACGAACCTTACACCAAATTAAACATTTGCCTATAGACACAGCACAGCCATTCATTGCACTACCTCATTGGCAGCTAAGTCGTTGAATTATTCACGAATAATAGTGAAAAATAAAAAAATCTCCGAGCCATTTCGCGCTATGCCAGTCCACTCCAGTGCTCGCCCAGTCTAGTGCAGTGTATCGTTTCGTCACGCGACGCAACGCCACGTGTTCAAGCCATCAATAATCTCTCTGTCCCCTGGTCGGCGCACATTGGGGGAAAAGCACGAAAAGCTGGCCAAAAGTCAAATAAGGTGCCAATCGCATGAAAAACATGTAGGAGTTTTTGGGTTCGCTGAATCCGAATCGGAAGTCACATTTGCAACTTTTTAAATTGAAATATATAGAGACAATAATACATAAAAAATAATTTATAAATTACTTGACAGACATATTCTGCAAAATATCATTTGTCTGACTACTAATTTCATTCGAGTGATAATATTTGGAGTATTTGGCTCTTCACACATTTTCCTTCAATTTATTTGGTAATAAGAAAGTGTTTTTGTAGAAAACTATTAGGGATTCGAGAAACTTTATAGAAAATCATTTGAAGCATTTCTACTTACAAATGGAATCATTGCATATACATATAAACCGGACGTTTCTGTACGTGCTTTTGCAATTTGTAACTTTTAAACATTTTTTTCAAATTTCTTTTGCGATTTGTAGAACGAAAGTCACGTCAATTCGATTGTTGAGTTGCTGTACATCTGTATGAATCGATTTAAATACACTAATGATTCTATCGACATGAAATTTAAATACATTATGAACACTAACCTTGTGATCAACTTAGATATCACTAACGGTTCAGAACTTATTATTACTTTCCCGCCATACGAATTCTACAAATAGAGAAAGTGATGTAATTGTATGCTAGAAAACGCCGAACTTTCGCCAGAATAAACCTAATTACCGGGTTCTGGAAATGAAAAAGTGGATAAATCCTGTCGTTAAATTTAGAAAAAAGTCATTGCACTCATGGTGCAGCCAGAATCCATGTTTAGTTGATTCTTCATACCGAAAAATCGATTGATGGCCAAACGTCCGTCTGTGGTTAACGCTAGCGCATAAACCGTTCATCTGATTTCCTTCAAAATTGATATTCCCTGACTGGTCTTAACGGACTGTAGGCTTTGGGAGCTTCTAACGGATATTTTGATTGTTGAAGTTTTTTAACATGAATCGGGCATTTCCCTGTTTATACCTTTGTCCGAGTTCGTCCCATGCGACGCTTCTGTAGCGTAGTGAGTGCCATCACGTTAACTTCTAGGACCTGAGTTCGAGCCTCGCAGCGGTAAAGTAATAAGATGCTTGACAATACCAATCTGCTGGATATGTAGTGTAATGTTGCGGAGCTTTTAGAAACAATGCGAGAAAGTATGTCCTTTGGCAGCACCACTAGTTTGACTTGTCTCTCACGTCGTTAACATTTACATTAGCGGCAATTTGTTCTCATTATATGTATGAATACGTGCTTTAAATAAAGTTATAATACGTTTCCTGAAAATTAAACAATTTTCTGGAAAATGAGCTCAAATTTCCGCGTTTTCAGAACCGCTCAAACGCCATTTTCTTAAAAAAAAAGGCTCCAATTTTTTCAAAGAAAATTGCCATTTAGGACTAGGTTTTACTGCTCTTTAATATTCTTTAAATAAATTTTCCCTTCTTCTATTAGGAAACCGAAAAACTAAGATTTAAAAAAAAATGTATTTAGGACGGCGATATTCGGCAGCTGGCAGAATATGTGGCAAGCCCAAAATAGCTAGCCTAAGCCAAATGAAATAGAAAACTTATACGGGAAAGTCTGTGCCAATGCTGTAGCTCCACTAATTTTTCTTAATGAAATGTGTTTTTCACAAACAGATCTTCAAATAAGTTCATGTTGATAGTTTTGAAAATTAGTATTTTATGTGTAATTTGGTGATGAACATAATCGCCCGCTCCGAATTTAGTGCGCTTAGTGAACATATTTTCAGACAGTTGGATGATTCTCAAGTTGGAATTTGTATATTAATTCATATTTCTTTGTTCGTTTCTTACATTCGACCTTTTATTATATATTTACATATTAATCTTTTAGTAATTATGTAAAACATTTGAAATATATGAAATAAAAATTACTACCGCTTACTTGAAAAAGTAAAAAAGCTCACCTTTTGGTAAAGACTTTGCTGTCAACTCGAATTTTCGAAGGTGAGTCGTGGGTAAATTTGAAGTGGAAAAGGGGTCTATGGCTTAATTCACTGAGCTAAAAGGGCATTTTTGCTGCAGCAGACGGTAGTTCTACAAATATATTTTGTTTTTACTGCTTGTGCTTGGTGAAAGGAAGGAGGGTATTTACTAGGCTGTCCGGGTGACGCGGCGTCCATGGCGAAGGTGCCGACGTTTCGGTCGCCATTCTGCGACCTTCCTCAGGGCGTAATGCGCCCCTCGCGAGGAGGGGCCTCGCGCCCTGAGGAAGGTCGCAGAATGGCGACCGAAACGTCGGCACCTTCGCCATGGACGCCGCGTCACCTGGACAGCCTAGTAAATACTGACTCCGGCCGCGGAAGCCTACGCTCTCAGGAAGGAGGGTATTCCACTAGTGACAGGGGTGAGACAGAAGACTGTGGGTGGGACAACTATTGTAAAGGAATGCATAAGGGGAGAAGTAGAACAAGGAATAAATTCAAGAGATAATGCATGTGAATCTAAAAGAGGAACAGATGATGCATCAGAACTAGGTGTGGGAGGGCATTGGTCTTCAGCAGGATACTGCAGAAGTGGTAAAATGTTGCGTTAGATGAGTTCGCTACCCAGTGTATGTGATCAGGCAAGATTTAGGTTCCTTCCTTATTTAAATATGTGAAGATCAATTCCAAGGTTTCTCATTTTTAAAACAAAGAAAATTCAAAACTTTATTTTCAGTTCGAAGGTAGGTTAAATAAGGAAATCTTGATAAATAAGACATGTCCTAATTACACATTTAAATTTGTTTTGTAATCTTCTTTACATTTTGCGTTATGGTATATAAAGGCAATGCGTTATATTATTTCCAAATAAGTATTGTATTACATATTACTACAATATGGGATTGGAGTATTATACAATGTCATAAGGCCGAACTTAATAATCAATTGAAGAGTTGAGAATTATAAGGGTAGGCTACTATCTGGCATTTTGACAAAATTGATATAAACATGTTATCTTAATGTCTATTGTGAGTAGAATATGGTCTGCCATTTTTTCTATCAATCTAAGACCATCAAATGTGGTAATGATGATCTTGAAGCCCCTTGAGCCAAAATATTATAAAGGTCCTATTTGTGACGTGACCCACACTACCACACTTTCTGTAGCATCTTAGGGCCCCTTCACATCAAGACACTTCTTCCGATAAGTGGCACTTCCCGCGCCGCGGAAAGGGGATTGTTCTACAGGGGTGATTTCGCCGACCCTTCGACACGACGAACAAAGAGACCGCGGGAGGTTGCGACGAGTGTCCCAGTGGGAAGACCACCATTTAAACCAACACTTTGCTAGCGGTGGCGCGTACGCCCTTCCGGGCTGCTGGTGGCGAGGGACCATCGCCGAACGCCACAGCAGCGCGAATCCGCCGCACTTGAGACCTCCATTTAAGCAAAAGCTTCGCTATCAGCAGCGGTGTTCGAAAGCGCGATGCAGTGTCTACGTGCGAAGGGCCCCTTACTATTCATTCTACATTCAATAGGAAGCATGAATTATTTCTGAGAGCATCAGTAGGAAATATATGTACGCACTACTTGTGATTATGGCGCGAAAGTGATGTCGTGCGGAGCACGTTACAACTGAGTGTTAGGAGTTTGAAGTGTACATGTAAAAGAAACAAGAAGTTTCTAATCAAAAAATAGATTCAGAACTTGGAATTATGATTTGAATTTATAAAAAATGTATAATATGTAAGCAGCAGAAGAAGATGAGCCTGTAAAATAATGGTTATATAGAGTTATATTTCTTCACGAGTTTAACTACAGCTTTGGTCTATCTCGTTCAGATTCATGCGTTACTTGTAGCAAATTAACTTAATGATCCAAACTTAGAGAACACTGATAAAGCAAAACCTTTGAACCAAACGGAATCACATGTCCTAAAAGCAGATTTAGGACATGAAAAGTTACAAATAGGCATAAAAAAAAGGAAAAAATGACAAATCTTTGCATGCAGCGAACATTGCCTATGCAATTCCTCAGGCTTTCTAACAGATACAGTTATGGATTTATAATGAATTTCTCTGTTTGTTCAAATGGTTTCTGTATGGTGTTGTGGAGTGAAGAACAAGCCAGGTGGCGAGTTCCATATAAGGTGGCAGTGATCCATACAAATCTAGTTCAGCCAGGATTTGCAGACTAAAGGCGTCTGCCCAACAGCGTTGCGTTGACGGGCGTTAAATAACGCGTGTCGTAGAAACTTAGTCGTAGTCTTATGCGAAACAGCACATGAGCTCTTTGACCGATCCGCAAAATATTAGATCAGATCACTTTGACCGATCAGTTAATCTACGACGCGCGTTACTTATTGCGCGTCAACGCAACGCTCGTGTGACACAGGCCAAAGATTTCTTGTTAGCAGACATACATTTCTTCTTTATGACGGGGACTTCAGTCACATTAAAAATTAAAAAGAACTCAAGTAAATGATATTCATGTGGTTTGAAATTGGTTCAAATTAATGAAGAAAGTTAAATGTGATAATCTATTTCAAGTTCAATGAGTGGTAAAGTTGTCATTGACTTCACAGAGTTTACTTAAAAATTGCTGTTTTCTGAAGAAAATGTTGATCATGATAAAAAGGAGGATTTGAACTCCTTTGGAATATCGAGCTAGCTACATAAAACAATAAATTTACTTTAATACTACTTTTAGTTTTTCTGAACTTACTTGAATATGCCTGGAAAAAATATATATCAATGTGTAGATGTAACTATTTTATAATGAATACCCTTCTAAATTTCCACATAACCTGCAGGAACAAGATTACAATAAAAAATATTTTAAACAAGAAAAAACAAAGTTAAATATATCTCAAACATTTTTATAGTAGGTATTCAGTGAGATACAGAATTTACAAACCTTGTTTTCATTGTAAAGTCACAAAAACACAGTACCTTATAATTCTCTCCCTTTCAATTGAGAATATCATGATTAGAATATCATGCAATATTTTATCCACTTTGCCTTATTTCAAATGTACTATAATTTTTTGTAACTTGATTATTCTTCATGGAAAAGGTGACAGACAGTATTAATAGGAGGTCAAGCATAATTATAACACTTGTGTTCTAATAATAATTATTTCACAGACAGACCGTAAAGCATAATTATAACTCTTGTGTTCTAATTATAATTTCACAAGGCTTCACTTCAGATATTCAAAGTGGATAAATGCATTTATCCCGGCAGTGGAAATGTTGGGTCTAAATGATCCAGTGATGTTTTTGGAGCAGTCCACTAAGTGAACAAAATTAGTTCATAACTCAGCCACCAGTCTATCTTAAAACTGAATCTTCCTGAACAAATGATAACCATTAGTTTGAGTTTGACATAAAACGTGATGGGTTATTCCCGCTTAAGTTCTTGATGGGTCAATCTGATAAAATGGTAGAAAATATTATTGTAAAAAATACTTCTGTAAAATATGCTCCCATAAAGTTTGTTTAAGTAATGCAAACATATTTTGTAAATATTGCAGTGATTAACTTAATGCTACATTTTCTTACTTCATTTTCAGTATCAATATTAATTTTATTTCTTTTTACTAGTCAGAAACTTTTAAAAAATTGGGCTATATTTTGGGCTTTATAACAGATCAATGATTTATTAGCACCTTCTACATCATAATAAAATATTTGTGTAATTTATAGGTGCTTCAAAAAGCTTCTAATATTTAGCGGATCTATTTGACCCAAAGTTCCCACTGACGTTACAGTTTTTCATATTCCCATCGCCGGGTAACAGTTACCTTGAAACTACAAATTATCTAGTAGGTGAAACAATACGTTTTGAGCTGTATAAGAGATAGAATTACTATATGAAATATTTTTAATTTTATTGTTAATATGTAGAGTTTAATGTTTTTATTAAAACAGTCATTATTGTATTATTCATTAATTCATATTATTTTTATAGTCTATTTTCAATTTTGTTTACTTAAGAAGTTTACATTTTTTTAAATTCCACAAGAATGTAATTTCCTAATCAAAAATAACATGTTCTTTTCTAAGAATCTGACAGCCGCTACTAACTAAATGACGGAATATCCTTTTCTCTCTAATTTAAGTAAGTGTCTGTATATTTAAATTGTACAGCAATTCCATAAATAATCAAAAAGAAACCTGAATGCCAAAACAAACAAATACTTATACTTACTGAATTGGTTTTTGAAATGAATTTCAGTTGAATTACATTGTTGAAAGTGAAACAGGTGTTTAGAGTAAACAGTAAGTGAATGGAAAATATACAACATGAAAAAATAATAAGTAGTACCTTTGTTTGTTGCCATTGGCCATAGGTACTATTTTAAACAATCAAACCAAACTTCGAAAATAACGGGAGCATGGAAGAAAACCATAAACTTCTCTACCTCTCAGAAGTACACTTATATCCAAATAAGTGTGCATCTGTAAAACAATTTACCATAGGAAATGTTTAAATTGTAAAAGATTTGAAAAATTCAAATTTATCATAAATTAACAATAGACCATATTTGAAATTTATAATTCATTTCTGAATCCAAATAAAATATACTAAGAATAGTTCATGAATTTTTTAAATATATCTATACACAGCAAATTTGTAACAGATTGTATTTGAGATTTATGAACATTAATGTACACAGAATGATTATCAACATGATCATTATTTTATACTGTACAGAATTAAACATATTAATTTGTAAAGCTAATAAATTCAAACACATTCAAACAAAATATTTTCAATTCCATGTACAATAAAAAATATTAACTTTAACATGATCTCATAAATAGTTTCAAAGGTGAATCTCAAATATAAATTTTATTGATAACAATTGTAAGCAAGAAATATAACTGCAAGCTACGAGTTGTTCTCAGGGTCATCCTACATTGGAGACTTCATTTCTTGTTTGACACATGTTTTGAATGCTTCCCAGCCTTCATTCTTTGCGTAGGACTGGAAAAAAAAGCAGAAAAATGTGTAAGGTACGTATACTGCAAACAATGCAGATAAAAGAACATTTTTCATCTCAAGTAAAGATAACATGAGATTTGATAAAAATATGAACAATAACAGATGAAAAAAAGATATCAGATTTGAGTCTTTCTATTTGGACTTAATTCTCCCCTTCAACATAAACTATTATCCTGTTCAACATTTATAAATTTTCATATCAATTGCAGCACTGAAATAAATAAGGAGCAATAAGCCACAATGAAGTTTTTTCAAGTTCACAAAAAATCCTGCTTTGTTTCTTGTACGTTGTCATTACAGAAAAGTAAAAAATAAAATGAGAAACAATAGGCTACTTTTATACTTCTTGTAATACACAATATCTTACATAGAACAGATGTTTCAAAATTCAAATTTAAAAGTTAAAAAAAAGTGAAATGTCATATGTATACCAAGCCTTTACTTGAGTAACGAACCAAGTCTAATTACAACAAAATTATCTGACATTGGCACCAAAAATAATTAGAAGAAAATGTAAATAAACGAAACCAATTTGAATATTTAGAATATTATCGACATGAAACATCACTCTCTACAGGTGTTCATAAAATTATGATTTCAGTCTTCAGAAATGGTAACACAGTACTTAGAAAGCTGTGTCTGCAAATTATTTTCAGAAAGTAAATTATTTTTATTACTCAGCCTTCTAGATTGTTTAGGTCTCTTTTAACTTATACAATTCCTGGCATAACTTTTGTAATTCTGAGCTACTGTGCCTAAGTAATGAACATATTTCAGAGTTGTTGGCCTTTGAAAATTTTGAAATTCCCTGCATTTTCCTGGTTTTCCATTCCCAAAAATCCTGTTTTCCAGTTCATTAGAAATATCATAGAAAGTATTTTCAAATGATTTAAAGACATATTTATTAGAATTTACGTAGATATATGAACAATGTCATATAAACAATACAATCACTTTTTGAATCACTGTTTACGTAATATCAGAAATGATTTAAAATAAATTATCAATAAATAAGGGGCTACAATAAAGCTAGGGGAAGGTGACCCCGAAAAGAAACCCACGATGGAAGGTCCCTCAGGATCAACCGTTACGGTGCAGGCGATCGGAGCCCCAGTACCGGCAGCCGGGGGTGGGCAAGCAGGCCCCCTGAGGTCGTCAACCAGCGACTGCAATTTCAGAGACGTGGACCGCTTGGCGTACTCTGAAATACTATACTGCGATAAGCGAAAGCCTAGAGAAAGCAGGTTTTAACCCCTTTTCTGGGAGGTCGAAGCTGCGGAGATAGCCTCCAAGTACCCCAACCACTCCAGGGAACCACTCCACCTACCGACCATCGGGAGCGAAATCCAAGCACGACTGCGGGACGAGATGGCACGGCGAGGGAGAGACTACGACCTGAGACAGGAAAAGGACCCGCAAAAGAAATAACTTCAACGAGTTTTGTTGAATAAATGGAAGACCATACAACTGGAAGAACAGCAGACAACTATCATTGATAGCCTAAACGAAAACCTCAAGACGATGGAGGCGTATATGCTAAAAAAATAACCCGGTAAGCGTTAAGGAAGCTATGTCTAAAGCCCGGGCTAACATCCAAGCGCTAAGATACAGATAGCAAGATGCCCTAGAAGAGAAGACAGAATTCCAAAAGGAAGAAAAATTCCAGAATTCCAATCTCTAGCAAAACGGGAAGAGATCACTAGCATAGGAAAAAGACAATACCCACCACGGGCTCAAAGGAAAAAGAGAGAGGCACCCAGCCCACCGGAAGAAGACGTTAGAATAGGGAAGAAAGAAAAACAGAAGGCTGTGGCAGAGTCAACAGATGTAACCTGTGACGCCATAGAATAGCAGGAAGTGAGGGTGGAGGGAGATGAAGGATGGCTGAAACCACCGGAGCAAAAGAAGAAAGAGGCAAGAGAAGAAAAAAGAAACGAGAAAGTGAAAGCCGATCAAAACAGGCCAAGAAATAAAACCCTGAACCAGGCCATCAAAATCACTGCCAAAGAGGGAAAGACATATGCTGATATCCTCACAGAGATGAAAATAGCAGTCATTCCAAAAGACCACAACATAATCGTTAGAAAATAAGAACTCAGAAACAGGATCTACTAATTGTCCTGGGTACAGAAGGGAACACATCATCATTTAACAATGTACTTGTAAAGGCAGTCGGGGAGAGTGCAATAGTTAGAACACTCACACCAAAAACACTTGAAGAAATTAGAGGCATTGACGAGACTGTTTCAGCAAATGACATAGCAGCTGCAATCGGGAGGGTCCTAGACACACCGACCGAACAAATAAGCAACTATTGCAGACTATATAAGGGGTTTGCAAGCACACAAACAGCGACAGTCTTGCTACCTACAGATCTAGCTTCACAACTACTGAAGAATGACAAGAGTAAAATATAGGATGGGTCAACTGCCAGATGCGCGAGAAGAGACAAGTAACAAGATGCATCAAATGCCTAGATTTTGGACACATATCCATCTACTGCCCGGGACCTGACCGTAGAAATACATGCTACAAGTGCGGAGAAACGGGGCATCAGATAAAAGACTGCAGCAGGACACCCAAATGTGTCATATGCAAGGATAAAAATGTAAATGATGGCCACATGCTAGGAAGCGGAAAATGCTCCTCATTCAACACCGAAATAAACAAGCAAAGTAAGCGACAAAATAAGGTTCCTATAAGTTAACCTAGGAAGGAGCTAAATCGCACAAGACCTACTTGTACAAGTTGCAACTGAAAGAAACGTGGACTCGTTGATTGTTAGCGAACAACCGACAAAAACACGTGGTACGACATGTGGTATCAGGATGCTACTGGAAGAGCCGGCATAATAATACATAATAAGCCGCTGATAATCAGAAACCACAAGACAACGAAATACGGGTTTGTATGTCTGGAAGTGGGTAATATGAGAATTTATAGCTGCTATTTTTCACCGAATGATACGCTAAGAACTGAAAATGCTGAGGAACTATCATATGTGAATTCATTGCAAGGAATGGTCTGATCATCTTAAATAGCGGGGATGAGTACAACTTTCAACGTGGAGCCGCATCATCTATTTTGGATTTGACAAGAAGCTCCACTAAGCTAGCTAAAGGCATCACTGATTGGTCAGTGCTCGACGAAGAAACCCCGAGTAACCATCAATACATAGGATATTCGACTCCATTAACGGAGGGGCTGCAACATGTCAAAACGCGATATAAAGGAAGACCACCTTGGAATCCCCCCCCCCAAATTGAATGAAGACAAGGCAAAACGCTCCTTGGAAGAAGTCAGGTTGCTGGTTAACACGGGTTGGACGAAAGAGGCGGAAACGCTTGATGATATGGCCAAGGCAACGGAGGAAATAGAAGTAGCAGCTTGCGACGCATCCATGGCTAGACGTATATGTCCGAAGAGGAAACAGCAAATGTATTGGTGGACACCAGAAACAGCCGAACTACGAAGGAACTGTAAGAAGGCAAGAAGAAAAGCGACAAGGGCCAAGACGAATCTGCACCTCAGGGTACAATATAAAGAACTGTCCAAACGGCTTAAGAGAGAAATAAAAAAGAAGTAAAGGCAGATGCTGGAAAGAGCTCTTAGAACATATAGATAACGACCCATGGGGCATGGCTTATAAAATTGTAAATAAGGAATTCAGGATGGACTGGAAGATACCTGGATCGAATGACCCACAATGGCGTGTGCCTACCGCACAGTGTCTACTTGCGCAATGCTGGTATTGGCCAGTACACCACCTATCGACTAAATAACCATGGAATAAAAGAGAACGTACATCACCTTGAAGGAAGCACAAGCAGACAGTCGTCTCTCTCCCAAGCAAATTGAGAGTGTTAAAGCAGAAGCAAGGAAGTTGCTCCTTGAAGAATGGCAAGGAAGATGGGATGGGGATGACAAAGGCAGATGGACTCATCGGTTGATTACAAACATCGAGAGATGGGTTAGCCGAAGTTTTAGAGAGGTTATTACCTGTCCCAGGCTCTTGTAGGAATGGAGATTGTCTGTGGAAGACTTGGGATGCAGACATCGGAATTTAGGGAAAAGTAGTCTTGTTAATCGGTCAAACAAATTTAAACCTGAGTCAGACCACTTAATTATTCAAAAAGAGAAGGTAAAGTTTGCGGTCGATGTGTTGGTAGCAGTTATAATGTTCTTACCAGATAATTTTGTGTTGAGTTTTTTAGTATTCTACTCCAGTACTTTTCCATGAGGTTCTTTTTTAGCTGGGGGTGTTCAACTGTGGAATGATGTTCCAAAATTCATAGCACCTGGTTCCAATTCTTCAATACCTTGAAACTGTTGGTTGGAACATTGAGAATAGCGCATTTGTCTATATCAAATGACATGTTAATATCTTTATTAAAGATAGCTGCAGAGTTGATTACAGATTCAAGTTGCTTCATGGTTCCAGCGTAGAGTTTCACATCATCCACAAAAAGATGAGTGTTCTTTTTATCAAATTTTACTTTCCACAACTTACTTTCTTACAAGAGTGCAGATAATGGGTTGATGGCTAAGCAAAACCACATTGACAAGAGGGAATCTCTTCGGAATATTCCTCTTCTAATGTTTTTGGATGCAATTTTCCTATTTTCAGTAGGAAGGTTTGTTCTCGTCATCAACATTATTGCTTTCAAGCATTTAATAATTTCCAGAGAAATCTTGTCAAGAACTTTCAATAGCTAGTCGTGAGGAACTGAATCACATGCCTCGGTGTAACTCTACATAGCATACATGTAGATTTCGCTCCTCAGTTTGCAGTCCAAGGTTCCACGGATCCCTTTTGTTCTTTTATCAAAATGCTGTTTCACAGTGTTTGTATATTTCTTTATTTACTACAGCAGTGAACTTCTTATACACCACCGATAAACACATGTGATTGGCTGATAGTTTTTGGGCTTCCAAGAGTCCCTCTTCTTGTACAGCAGATGTGTTAACTTCAGTTAGAAAGACATTGACTTTTTCGGGATCGAATAGTTTTTTGCTAGAGCTCAATGTGAAAAGACTGGTTGTTTCAGCCAAAAGTTCTGGTTTTTATTTTTATTATTATTGAGACAATCTTAAGACAAAAGAAACGAGATTGTAATGGGGTTGACTTGACCTAAACTCGCTCGCTAGTTACAAACATAAACGAATAGAAGCTAGAAAAGTAAAAAAGAATCAACATCACCCTGAAGTAATGCTAACGCAGTCCTGGGCCGTAACTATGTTGATTGGATAGGGTTTATGAGTTTATTGAGTAAGTGGATGAAAAAGAGCTCCCTAGATGCTGAGATGGCAACATTGTTCTGCTTCTGGACATAAATTTAACTTCAATTTACTTCTCCCCATAACACGTTACAGTTTTTAACTGTTTTTGACGTAAATAAATAAACATTCACCCATTTGAAACTCAAATAAATAATACTGCTTAGTCTACACTATTATGGATTCACCAAACAAATATTTACCCACAACATAAATCTATTATCGCAAAATTACAATTTCAAAATGTTCATACCATGTGAACTGCTTGGCAGCCTCCGTGAGAGTGAGAATTCGCTCATTTTTGTTAAAGCTAATTTTCAACGGCCTCCCGCCATGAATTCCATAATACTGACACCAGGCCGTGACATTCCTAGACAATACAATTCTCGTCTAGCATCCAGCATGGCGCCTAAATGTTTATAGTTCGTTGCTATGCTACACTCAGCTCGCACAAAACTCAGCTGGCATCTTGGGGTGAGATTTTCAGGTGATTTTTTCTTTTGGCACTTTGCTTATGTATATCAATGCTACAATTATAGAAAATGTTCAGTCCCTCTAATTTGCATCTGTGTCAATGAGTGTCCCTCTCAAATGAAAACAATAAAATCATATCTTTAAAGAAAACTCTACATTTTTGAAAATTACCTTAAAACCTCTATGCTGCCGATCTTTCATAATAGCAATGAATTCTCTGTAACTGAGTTGTCCATCACCATCTTCATCAAATAACTGGAAAACTGTATGCACTATGTGTTTGCTCAAGCTTGTACCAGTGCAAATTTTTACAGCACGATGAAATTCCTCTGAAATTATTGAATTCAGTAGTTTCTATTAATAAAGCAATATGCTAAATCTATGACAAAGATATGACTATGATACATAATACGACTATGATAAATATATGACAAAGATAATTTATTACCTTTTGAAATAGGGTGATCAGCTAATGTGTACATCCTCATTGCTATTGTAAAATCTTCTAGATTATTTAAGAATTGGCAGAATACTCTGAACTCTTCAAACGTGATGCCTTTCTCATCTCTTATGCGGTTGAGTAGACGGTCCAAATACATGTCATATCTAAAAACAGAATTAAGATTATTTTTGTTAAATACCATGTATCAATGTAATTAAGTACAACTAGAAAACAAACAACTCACTCATCAGTATCTAGATATGTGTAACGGAGTAATATCCTGGCAAAATCCACTTCAGAAATTGTGTCATGACCCTTTGAAAACTCGTGAAATTCCAGCTCTAAAACTTCTACTTGTAGATTCTCCATAAACCTGAAACAATAACAGTATCATGTCAATGTTTAGTGCGTTTTAAGTTTTTCTAATGGTCTCTTGCGAACATTTCATTCCTCACTTCTCAATAACAATATCAGATATTGTATATGCACCCTACATTTATTCCTCTTTTGCTGTTGGTGATTTGGCGCACAACAGTTGGTAGCACGCGACGCACAGGCGCAGTCTGCCATATTCTTGCAGAAACGAGCAGGCCTCAGTCTCTCGCCGTCAATCGTAGCGGACGGACGTTCTCTCCGACGTGTTCCCGAGTGACCGTTAATAAGTTGTCGCGCGTTCTTACCTATTATGTATTGTGAATACAATTAACGTTTTATACTTTAACTTTTCGGGATGAATTATTTATCTTCTTCAAGAACATAACAGTGGTGTTAGAAGTGAGATAAATAAATAATATTCGATCTGTGTGAAAAGGTGTGATACGTGTCGATCATAACCTCAACTCTACCACGCGTCAATAATAACCTCAACTCGACCACGTGATGATCATGACCTGTATGTGACCACGTTCGTATTAGTTACGGCCCGAACGGCACCACGTGGCGTTCATAGCCCCAACTGTATCACGTGTCGATCACTACCTCAACGTGCCGTACCGCTTACGTACAGTAACGGACAGTTACAGTACAGTACAGAACGTACGTGCCGTAATGCGACCTCGCGCGCGAACACAGACTAACGCCACGCAGGTTAGAAAAGCAGCACACCGCCTCTTCTAGATATGGCTCAAAACGTATCGCCGGACCTGCTACAGACGCTATCTGAGATGATAGCCAGTGCTATCCGACAGTCTACAGCGTCGAACCAAAACAACAACACATCAACGGCAGCGGCAGAGCCTCGTTCTCCACAGTTTTCCATGTCTGAATATCGCGCTGCCGACGGAACAACCATTGCAGACTATTTTACACGGTTCATCTGGGCGCTGGAGCTTAACCGAGTTCCCGAAAATGAACACGCACAGTACGCACGTGTTTATGTGGGGCCTGAACTCAACGACTCTCTCAAGATCCTCGTAAGCCCAGAGAACCCGGAAAATCTATCTTACCGTGAGATCCAGTCGAAATTGACGGAAAATTTCGACGCCATACACAATAAATACGCTGAAAGCATCAAGTTAAGAAGCACAATGCATAGGAGTGGAGAGTCAATAGCCAGCTTCACAAGAAGCAACTTATTGTGAGTATGACACATTTATATACCGAATGCTAATTGAACAATTGATTAAAGGACTGGAATCGAGGGATATGTGTTAAGAAACCAGAGAGCTTCACTGCTGCGTGCGAGATTGCCCACGCACTCGAAGCCACGTGCAACACCGCTAACGAAGTCAAAGCTGACGACATAACCTTAAAACCCGATTCGAGTCATCGGATAGGTTATGAGAAGTCACCGTTACGGAGCAACAACCAACGGCCTCCGAGTTGGTCAACAAGCCGGCGTCAGAGTGGCAAGCAATCACGGCCACAAGTGTTTCATCAACCAAATCAGACAAAATCAGAGAATCAGCCAACGTGCGCGGGATGTGGTGGAGATCACTTCCGCAGTCAATGCAGTTTTTTATGCTGAATGTCGGAAATGTGGTAAGAAAGGGCACATTGGCAAAGTTTGCCGATACAAACCGAGACAACGGAGGATTAATAAGGTATCTGAAGAGGCCGCAGAAGAATTACCAGCGGACCGACGCGACACCATATATCTCGGTAAGATGGAAATTATTGGAACAGTTCAGTCCCCAGAACGGCAATCGATCGACGTCAGTCTAGAGGGAACCACCGTTAAGATGGAACTTGACATCGGCGCCCCCTGTTCGTTCATGAGCAAATCGTAGTTAAGTCTAATTAAACCAAACTTTATGCTGCAAAAAACTGATCGCCTCTTCACCAGTTAACCGGCTACCGCATCAACTGCATCGGTAAGACGTTAGTCACCGCCATCATCGGGACCACATCCAGGAACCTCTATATCGTCGACGCTGAATTTAAACGCTACTTGGTAGAGAATGTATTTCTGAGTTTGTGCGGGAGATACATTTTGAACGCATCTTTGCCAAACCAGAATAAATCCCAGACCTCTCCACCGAGCCATTCCTATCGCAGGACCAGAAAACGGAACTCGACGCCACCATTGATCTTTCCAGGATGTTTTCAGCGATCTTCCCGGAAAGTTATGAGGTCCACAAGCAAAGATGCACCTGAAGCCGGGTGCCTTGCCCATCTTTGCTCGAGCTCGAGACGTCTCCGTGGACCTGCGTGGCGCTTATGCCAAAGAAATAGACGCCAAGATCGCATCCTGTTTTTACAAGAGAGTAGAGTACTTAGAATGGGCATCTACAACGCATGTAGTCGCCAAGAAGAACGGAAAATTAAGAATCACAGGAAACTACAAACCCACTCTCAATCCACGAATTATCATCAACGAACATCCAATCCCAAAGGTAGAAAATTTGTTTAACCGGATGCGAGGCGCCACCCTCTTTTGCCACCTAGATGTCACTGACGCATACACCCACCTGGAAGTTGACGACGAATTCAGCCACGCCCTCACTCTCAACACTCCAACTCATGGCTTGATCCACCCAACCCGTGCTGTCTATGGTGCAGCTAATATTCCCGCTATCTGGCGGCGGCGTATGGACACAGCCATACAAGGTCTCGATAATGTTGTAAGTTTCTTCGTTGACACTATTGTTTTTGCAGTCAATTTTGAAAAACTCATTGAGGCCCTCAATGCAACACTGGAGCGTTTTCGCCAACATGGTCTCAAACTGAACAGAGCCAAGTGCAAATTCGCCAAGTCCTTGGCCACAAAATCGATGCGACGGGCATCCATTAATCGGATACGCACATCCAAGCCGTCCGAGATGCGCCGAAACCAATTCCGGAGGAACTGCAGCTATTTCTGGGGAAAGCAACCTATTATAGCGATTCCAGATTTATCAACCATAGATTGACCACTTACAATAGAGACATGCTGCTGAATGACCCCCTCGTGTGGACCCCAGCGGGCGAAAGGGCTTATAAGGATCTTAAGGAAGCGCTGGCTTGCCCCAGGTACTCATGCAGTATGACCCGTCACTGTCACTTTTATTGGCAACCGACGCCAGCAAAACTGAACTGGGCGCAGTACTGTCACACCGACTCAGCAGCGGTCGAGAACGCCTCATCGCTTATGCCAGTCGAACAATCTCAGCAACTGAACAGAGGTTCCCTCAAATTGACAAAGAAGCACTTGCAATTGTATGGGCAGCACAAAAGTTCTTGAAATATCTGTACGCCCGCCACTTCGCACTGATCACCGATCATAAACCGCTGACACAGATCCTTCATCCAGAAAAGTCTTTACTAATGCTGTGCATCAGTCGCATGACCAATTATGCGAATTATTTAGCACACTTTGACGATGACGTTCTCTTCAAGAATTCAAAAGCCAATGCAAATGCCGACTATGGCTCTCGAGCACCGCTTCCATCTACCATCCATTCCATTAGGAACTCAATTCCGCTTCAGAGGGAAGAGGCGGAGGATTTCGATGATTTTGATTTTTTTGCAGTTCATCAGACGCAGCAACTACCTCTTAGGTTAGAAGCCATTGCACGTGAGACTAAACGAGACCATCTCAACACGATCGTCAAACTCTTGAAAACAGGTCAAGGTCAGGAGTGTGGCAGCTAATATCTCTTTCATTATTCGGCTTGACAAGTGGCGTTACGGCGACTCGCACGTATTGAAGTGTAGCCGACGCAACCGGAAACAGTGTTGAAGGGAGTAAGGTCTCTCTCTAGGTGCCAACCTCGTGGACGTGAGCCACCGTGACATTTCGGGAAATAACAGTGTGCCCGAAACAAAATAATAGGGCAAGGATGTTTTACATGCGCCTGGAGACAGAGCGGTTTATAAGTACTTAAGAGAAATAAAATATCTAAAAAGAATAAGAACATCTAATAGAAAGAAAATGTAGAAGAGACTTGAAATAAATTTTGTGAAATCCTGTCGATTTCTTTCAGTCCTGGATAGTATTGTTTGAGTAAGCGAATGTTTAATTTTTAAATCGATATCATGCGTTTTTATTTAAATTATATCTCTTCACATCTATAACATTGAATGAAAAATATAATATTATCTTGATTCTTCTTCGTTTTGTAGCTCTGATTTCAGCAATTTTAATAACAAATTATTACTATTTTTTAAATTTATTACCACGAATTATTAAATATTAAACTTAATATTTTAATTTAATTAAAAGCACTTTATGATCCATAATATACATTGTTCATATATATTGTGGCGTTGTATTGTGGAGTCATATATTGTGGAGTCATGCTCGAAACACCCCAGCCACCCACGCGGCTTCAGCGAGGCCAAGACATGTTCCCGCAATGCAGGTGCATCGATAATGAAGGTGCAAAACAGTGTGGTCTGGTATCTGCTGCACGCAGCTCCGGTGAACTTTCTGATCATGGCGAGCGCGGAGGGGTCAGTCGGTAGGAACCGTGACGTAATGCTACCCCTCCAGGTGAATTCGTCCATCTAACCGCTCAGCCCTTCTGGTGAGGGACGTTGAAGTGTTCGGATGTGCGTAGAGAGCTAGGTTAGTGAGTTTTGTAGAAAGTACGGAGCGAAGTAATTGTTCATGCGGGAGAATAGTAGGATAGCGGAAAGTTCAGCCTTCTGAACTGTGATTAACTAGGCAAAGTATAATATCTCATAAAGACTGTGAAAAGTAGTGGAGTAGCTAGTACAAGGCGGAATATTGACCACGAAAGTGAGAACTTTGCGCTGTTGCGAGGCGTCCGTAGAACTGTGCAGTCACCTAAACATGTAAGAAGTGTTGTCAAGAACGCCATAAAACCGATACGCCATAAGCAAACACGCGTAAGGACTTTGAAATTTCCGTCATCTTGCCGCATACGAAGAGCGGCGAAGAACGAAGAGGCGAGAATTCTTGTGCTGAGCGTGGCCAAGAAGCAAGACGAA